AATGGATTAATTTCACACTTCGCAATGCTTTACGGCGACAATGCATCACAAGTTTTAGAAGCTTTTGAGGCCGTGAAAAGTGTTACATACGGGAGGATATTTTCACAGATCTACAGAAATGAATTTAGAAACAATCTGGTTTCTAACTCTGCCTTCCTCATATGCAGAAGAGTCTTGCCTGAAGTCAAAAATCTTTTGCGCCATCAATTTTCGATTGCCTTTCATATCATGCATCATACGTCAAGCGTATACTACCACCTACGAGTATAACGAAAAGGTATTCAAAATTGTTTTTATAGCCTCTGACCGTGATCCTTTTCACAGTGCGGCAAACTTAGCGGCAAAGTTTTCATTTCACCAAGTGGGGAAAGAATGAACAGGAAAAAATATAAATGGCAGTTATTGCCCTTCGAGGCTGCCTCAACCGTTCAAAAGAATTATGCTCTCGCCCCTTACCCCTAACCAATGCTCCCCCTTTATAAATTTTATATGCTTTTCCACCTGTTCAATATACTCGTGCACTGCCATTTTCAAAGATAAAGTCAATGCCATGCGCCTTGCTTCAAAGAGTCACTGAGGGGAAAAACTTTTCCTCGATAAGGGGATGGTGATTCAGCACGTGACTTGGCCAAAGATTTCAGGCCTGTACACTCATGCAACACCTTNATGACCATATGAGTAATATGTTTAGATTGCATCTGAGGATGAATCCTCTATCATCCAAAAAAGCATATAAGTCGTGAAACAACAGCCGATGTTAGTGTGTCAACGAAACGAGGTACTAGTCAGCGAAAATATACGACATTACAATTCCTAACGTCATCTCTGTGGTCCCCAAGTCCTACACCTCAGCATGCTACCTATTAGAAGGTACCAAGAGAGATGTGGACAAGATAAGGCAAAATCGTTCACCCAAACTTCGCATATTTGTGCTTTTGTTAGAACATGCATTGTGATTCTCATTTGAAATTTCTTTTTTTGACTATGATTGACACTGCTCTGATGAAGCAGTCAGATAGACATTTTTGAACATGAAATAATGAGCATTGCAGATAATTCTCATTTCGCCGCTTCCAAATTTTCTTGAAGAACTCTGAGGGTGTCGTCATGTTTAGGTTCTGTTTGACGTCTTGTGAATAACAGTTTCCATACATCCAGTTTCATGCGACTGAAGCCAAGCAAAGAATTACAATGGCAACTTTGTCTTGATGCCATGCAAATGTGCATGACACAGATGCGCTCTACTGAATGCTCAAGACGGGCTACAAGAACATCGGGCTGCAACTTGAACCGATTTTTGTGTCCATCCCCGTAAGACTTAGGGTGTGACACCGGTGGTAATTTGAAGTAAGCTTGAAAGTTGGAGTATGAGAACTATTAAGGCAGTGTTCGAGTTGCACTCCTGAGTAGGGCATGCGATCGAATCGAATTGCGATCAGATGCTAGCAACTGTGATCGCAAAGGGGGAATAAAAAAGTATAGCCGAGGAGTTGGTGAACAGAGTACAAATGACATCTGGTTATGCTTGAAGCACGAATTCTTGTTTTTTTTTCCATGATCAAAACATCGGTTCTGTGTAAAGAGATGCCATCAGCGGAAACAATAGTCCCGAATGAAAAACTCAACATCAGAAGTGAGCATAGAACTGAAGTGATACATTTGAATCACATATTGAATATTGAGATACCAAAGAGAAAGAACTCACGCCGTGCTCATCGGTTTGCTCTCCGATCTTCTAAATGATAATTTTTTGATAATGGTGATTTTTTCTAATTTTAAAAGCAAGGACTCACCCAAACAGCTCCTGATAGTATGGATGTGACTCAATACATCTAGACCTGGTTTTCGCCACGAGTTATTAACATTGCCTTGTATTAACATTGCCCTGATCAGCCTTGTATTTCTCTCACTATCTTTTAAATACGCAGAAAACACTTTATGTGATAGTCTACGAAGAAATCGGCACTGCTCTGGAAAACTGAAGGGGGATTTCAGATAGCTGTACATTATCACCGATCTGGTTGGTTCAGGTTAAGAACTGTGACGTTCGAACGCCGAATGTGACGTCCGAATGCCAACGTGGAATTTAAGATTTTGCATTCAAAAACCCGTTCCAACGATTGCCATCCCTCCTAATTTTCTCTTTTCCGGGTCCGTCCAATATATGTAGGTCTGCCTTCAGCTCATAATTTGTAGTCGCTTCGTTTCATTTCTTCTTTGTAGCGGTTAATCATTACCATACTTATTACCTGAGAAAGGGAATCTGAATTTTCGCGGAAAACTCAAGTTCGCTTTTCATTGTTTTTTTTACACAAATTGGTCCAAAACTAAGTTTTGCCGAGTTGGATATATCATCAAACTTAGCCTTTCAAGTTCTACAAGGTGATACCTAAAACTACGTTAAAAGTAGATTCCGGAAAAGAAAAGGAAAAGATTCCGGAAGTTGAAACATGCCTTCAAGTTTCGAGGGTTATTTTGCCTTGATCTGATAATATGATAGCGGTGGAATCGTCTATTGCCGCCAACAACAGCCGGTGCTTTGAAGGAATTTTGTGGGGACCATAGAATTAAGGCTTTACTCTCTTTACTCAATCTCATTACGCGACATACCCTGATGATGATCTCTTATTTACTAAAAGGATGAGGGATAAAATCATTGAGCATCGATTGATCCCGTCTGAGAGATGCGTCCATCATTCATTGCGTCCGTCCATCATCATTCAACTTCCATTCAAGACCTGACGGCGCATTGAATACATATGGGGCCTATACAATGATTTGTATGGTCAGTCGATTTACAAGTAAGTGCTTTTGACAGTCAAACGACAGGAGACCAGGAGTAGTGCAGGATATGCCGCATATTATTGTAGTATAGAGAGTCACGGAATTGAAGGAGAGCTAACCTCGGATCGTGTTTACCACAAAATTTCTGCGGAGCCTGATTTCAGTGTGGGATCATTTATCGATTGCACGATTATTTCCCCTGAGGTTTTCAACTATTTTATGCAAGGCTTGGCACAAATGACTGTCAATCAATCCATACATGAATGCTAGTTAGGAGCTATACGGAGCGAAGCGAAGACACATGATTCTGATGTCATCCGAAATTCTGGAGATATTGATCGCTTCTATATTAAACGGGAGATTTTTCTTTCCTTTTTTTCTTTTCCGATTCCATTTTCCAATTCGAAAGCGATCCCTATCAATATTTAGTATATCAGGTCTTGGAGTGTGGAGGCTGAAGATAATGTTGAGAAAGTGACCTCTTTTGCTTCGTGGAACAAATTATGGGGGACAGTGGAAAAGATAACGATGTCGTATCACAATCCGAAGCTGCGCCATCAAGAATTAAGGATGCAGCAGCAAAAATCGTTTCAAGATCTCACCTTTTCCGCCCGCATGCCTTAAAAGTCATTTTCGTTAATATACCGAGTAGATGTTCAAGGCCCCCCTTTTCTTGGTCGTCGAGAAATCTGTTGGGGATCCCTAGAAGTTATTCCCTTCATCGGGAAAAGATATGAGATCAGCTGTCAGAGAATTGTGTGACCTATACGTTCCGAAACAACGATACAGTCCAGTCTGAGTTTTCTTCTCTAGCCAGATCACATTGCCCGCTGCACTTGATTACATCAGTTTTAACACCTCCGCTAGTGATTACGCTGATTATCCCAGGAAGATTACGCTTTTCCAATACTTGCCGCACTTCCAATTCCTTTATCACTCCTATAGAACTTTGCTAATCTCCGTTCGCAGACAACTCGTCACCGTCGATCTTTGATGCTTTCATAAACTTTCGGTGGTCGCATCTCTTTAGCACTTTCCTTTGCTAGTAAGAGCTTAAGTACCATAATTGTTTTTCGGCACACCCCTTTCCCTTTTTGTGTACTATTTTAATTTTATTTATTTTATTTTGATTTAATTTATATTCTTCCGTTCAACTTTCCCTTTCGTTTTGTAGTCAATTTGAGGGCTTATTCTATAATAAATGAAAGAAAGTACCGTATTAGTATGTAGTATTGTGATCGAGATTCGCCTCAATCTCACTGAACAGCCTACGAAACGGAGGAAGGATCCCTGTAATGGAGAGGGTGCAGGATGGGATGGGAATGATGCACTCCTGGCAGTTAAGTGACAGGAATATTTCCACTACGATTATAGCGGTTTTGGCTTTTTATGGGTGTCTCGTTACTTGTTAACAGCTTGACTTCTATAACTGATTGCGGCAGCGATAAATATTTGATGAGCGGTAACTGTTAAGATGTCACGATAACACAGTTTTATATCATTTCAGGGAAACTCATCAATACACTCAATCTTCATAAAAGTGCCTTTCTTTTATGGCTTCAACAAATACTGATTAGGCTGTTAAAATGAATTCGTCCCCTAGTACCCCTTCAACATCGTGAAAAATTCGTCTTCATTAAGGGAAACGTAAACATAGGGAGAGACATTCTGATGGTGGGGAGTAATGAGGGGTGGCAGGGTAGCCATCCGGTATCAGTTGCTAGACGCGTTACACATGCAGAGTGACAGCAGTATCCTTTCAATGGGAAAGTTATGGGAGGGATAATAACTCGATCAAGGTGCTACTACTACTTCTAACAGTAAAAAGCTCACGAAATCAGTGAACTATCAATAAAAAGCTCGAATGAATCACTCATCGTAAACATTGTTTCTTTAACATTTGAATTTTATTTGTTACATATGCAGAGGAACTAATAGAACTAAAAGGAACTCATTGGTGACGACAATTACTTAATCATGATCATTTGTTTGTTAACGACAAACCATTTATTATTTACTGTCTTTTGTCTATTAATAGCGATGTGATGTATTTATATAAATGCATGCCAGTCTTGATCACTTTCAGCACATTGATGTTTACTGAGGCTTAGTCGCCAGTCGCGTCCTTCTGAGCGTTCTTATCAAATGCCATCCGGTCTTCAAAATACTTGGAGCATCACTTTTTGGTCAGAATTTGTTGGATCTAGCTGCGAACAATGATAGAACCATCTGGATCATCGCGATCATCTCTTTCTGATTCGTCATCATCAACTGCATCAACAACAACGACAACGACGACAATAACAAGTGTCGAAGATCGTCGTCATGCAGTTTATGGGATATTTCTGTTGCATGGAGTTGGTATGCTCATGTCCTGGAACATGTTCATTACGATAGCACCTCAGGTGAGAGACCTTTAGAGCGGTTAATTGAATCCTACACGGACCTAGCTGCTGCTCTGACGCCGCTCGTGCTCAAACGCAAATAAGCACATGTGCATTCCTATAATTTTAAATGTCACAGGATCATGTGTTTAGTTCCGTACTGAATTCAAGGCCTCTTACTATTTTTACTACTTTTTCTGTTTATTTAAATTAATGCTTTAAATTGCTTGCCGCTGATTACTTTCACCTTCAGTCGCCCGATTCTTTTACTTGTCTTCCAAACTGCAGCGATCCTTAGTCTCCTTTTACGGAACGTTTTTCATTACATGTGTAGCAATAACTACCATTGTTCAAGTCATATTCCTTCAGAAGTGGTGCTCTACTCATGCGGACAAAAGTCTTTGCTTGATCCCTTCACTGGCCGCTTTCATAGTCCACGATTTGGCGAGTCGTTCAACGGCGCTCATGGCCAGCGCTGCCTCCGCGACCGGTCGCTCGCCAAATCGTGGACTATGAAAGCAGCCACTGTGTAATTTGAGTACTGGGACTGCTCATAACATTTATTGCGAAACTTCGAAGGCCTGTTTCCAGCGGTTGACTGCAGTCTCAAGCAAACCTTTCGAAACCAACTAAGAGAAGCCTGCTGATAAGTGGAACATAGTTAATCAAATGCTATCATTTCACTTTCATTTCGATTCACAGGAATTCTGAAAAGCGTAGGTGAACATTTTGACATTATGCATACAATTTAACTCGGTTCCAGTTCAGTTCAGTTTTGTTTACTTCATACAGCTTGGCTATTCTCACTGCCATATGCACCTTTTAGCTCTGCTCAGGAAGCAAAAGGTATCAAGGCTGTTACAGGAGTATATCTTTCTTTCTATCTGTATGCTATGGTTTCTCTCATACGTACTTGATCGATTTGATACCTAAGGGCAGACCAATAACTAGTACTATTATGCTCCAGTCTTCACAAAGAGCAGCTACTTCAATAAGTGAATGATATGCTACCGCTTTTCAGTACTATGTCAGTTACTGGTTCACTGTAGACGGCAATGCAACTGGCTACGCTGAAAGCTTCATGAGTGTCATCGGCGCAACGTCTCAAATCCCAAACGTTGGGATCATGTTTGTTAACATAGCTATAGTTGTCGCGTGAGTCGAACAATCATTTTCTCGAAGTCCCAGTTCACGATAATAATGAGGTGCCCAGTTTCAGAGGATTAAAGAGTAAGAAAGGACAAAGGTTTTGGCGTTAATCAATCCCGTCTGAGGGATGCGCCCCCGCACTCGACTTCGATTCAGGATCGCAGTGGCGTAATGACTGCTTTCATAGTCCGCCGGCCGGCCGGCGGACTATGAAAGCAGCCAATGAGTGCGTATGTGGACTATACAATGACTTGCGGTGGCCAGCCGACGTACAAGTCAGTGCTTTTATCCTCCCAGACGAGTCTGGTACCAATTGAACGGTCCCGGAGGGATGGAAGGTTTGGTTGGCCTAGGCGGGCATCGATCCGGAATTCGAACCCCTGACCGTGCGTGTGAGGTAGTGCGCCACTTGCCACTGCACCACCTCCGCCCGTTTCAGAGGTTAATGGACCTAATAGTCCGGAATAGTGCTAATTTGGATAAGAATACGCGAAAATGGGTGTACCTAAAGGCATGTTAGGCTTCCAGATTTGTAAAATCAGGAGTTGGACGAGAATGTGACGACAAAACTTGCATGGAAGGGGTATTTATACAACCTGTCCAAATGTGTAGACCATTCCGTTCTGATGGCTCAGCAAGCTGTCTGCGTGTCACATGTGTGTCCCGGTGCGAATGGCGCAACCATTACAGCCTTCACATTACTGAGAACTCGTCCGTTTTTGAGTGCGTATGCCAGCTGAGCAGGTATTGGGATAAGCCCTATGCGAGCCGTTTTCCAACTCGACAGCGTCCCTTGTGCTATACTTCTAAGTCGAAGGTTCATCGTGGGAAGAAGCTCGGAAACCATTGTTACCGTGAACTGCTCCTTTCACATTTTTCCGTAACATCGGACTTTTCATGGCCTCTTTAATTTTCAGGGGATCCCTCATGTATCGGATTACTGTGCCTCTCATCATCAATTGTTTTTTAGTGGTAATTATCATAATGCTTGTTATATTTGTTCAACCTAATGACAATGGTGAGTTCGGATTGTATTAGGTTGTCGGAAAAGTATTTGCGCATTTTGGTTTCCATGTTGTGAAATCTTTGGGGATTGCTCTAGAACCTTCACTGCGGAATATGTGCAAGTGCAGGTCAATGCGCTCTCCACACTATATCTGCCGTAGCATTTCGCAGCGGTTATGGCTGCAAGAATCGCTCTCGACCCAAAGCGAGTCAAACTGCCTTTGCTTTATGAGTTCAGAAAAAAACGTTAATCCAAATTGAGCGACAGGGAGAATATGCGATGTTATAGGACTATTCATTGTCTCTAATAGCACATCAAAAAGTTGGTACAAGAAGTTCAAAAATGGCCGCTTTGTCTGGACCGATGAACCACGATCTAGGAGGCTAGCTGATCTCAATGACGACTATCTCCTAAAGCTGGTTGAAGAAGATTCCAGGTTCAGTACTCATCAGCTGAAACAGGGGCTCATAGCCATCACGACACAACAGCTGTCCATTTGCATCGCCTTGGAAAGACATGGAGATTCGGAGACATGGATAAGTTTTGATCTGGGTGGTCACGACCTCCAAATGAAGAAGATTCATGCCTAAAGTTGATGACTTTCCGAAGCACCTTCGCATGGCTGGAAGAACTAATCACTGGCGACGAGAAGTGTGTTCTCTACTCAAACCGCACAAGGAAGCGCCATGGCTTGGATGCGTAGAGCATGGAATCCCGACCTCCAATCTAGAATTCCTACCTCAAGAGACAATGCCAAGCGTTTGAAGCCATCAAAAAGGATCGTTCACTGGGACCTTCTANTCCAAACTCCGCTGTCAGCACTGAAGCCCAGTGTGCTCTGTGGACCGGATTGCTGCAGCTCTAGGAGAGAAACTCGGGAAAGTCTATTTTCTCTAAGACAGTGCTCGCCCACACTTTTCGAAGGAGGCCCAGAGGAAGCTTCAAAGCCTAGGATGGCATGTTCTGGCCCACCCACCGTATTCACCAGAGCTAACTCCAACGGATTATCGTCTGCTCCTGTCGCTGTCGGACCATCCGAAAAATAAGAAGCTCGATTAACTGAACCAACTCGAGACGTACATTGACGAAATTTCCTCCTCGAAACCTCAGGAAATCTACGCAAGCAGGAACCACAAGTTGCCTGATGAATGGCAATACCTTATCGATAATGATGGTGCATGTATTTGTTAATTGTTAGTCATTGTGAAGGAAAAAAAATAATTTAAAAAAATTGCAAAAGGCGCAAAGACTTTTCCGACAACCTAATATCATTTTTTGGATAGAACCAGATACAGACTTCTTCTCACTAACGCAGGGCACTGTACAGTTTGAAAATGTTAACAATTATTGCGGTGTGGAGCGTACAGTTACGGTTAGCAAAGCGCTCAAAAAACAAAGCTGAAGTTGTATTGTGTTGGTACCTCATCATCTCGCGTGAGCAGGTCTATTCAAGGCTATGAGCCTTGAATAGGCCCCATCCAATATCCCCCATCCAAAAGATTTTGGAAGGTTTTCTTCAGTGGCTGTGCATATTGCAAGGAAACCTACTTGATGTTGCCTAAGAAAGTTTTGAACTTTGTTTTGTCTTCGGTACACTCTGCATAAAAGGGGAAAAGTTGGAGGTTATAGAGAAATTCAGTCAAGAGCCCTAATAGCGTTTCAATTCGGAAGGAGTACAAGCGGCAGAAGGGGAACGCCTCTGACAGGTGACATTTGTAGGCTCCGCCCGCTGTGACCGTGCGTGCGCGGAAATCGCTCCCTCAGAGCTGAAGCGTAGACATTTGAAAGATGTACACGAGGCAAGATGAGAACCTTAGCGGGAGGTGACAATACTGGACACCAGTAGGGAGGAACTCAAATCGACAATTTCATCTGAAAGTTTTTCAGATCATGCACTGTTAATTCACAGCTTTGCTCACTCCACGCATGAATTCGCGTGTGATAGAATTTTCGCTGTGGATACGTTGGCCCGATATACCTCTTTCCTGCATCATTCTGTTGGGGTATTGACCAATCAATCGAATCTTTGTTTTCTTCAGCGGTACAATGTTACAACTCTAAGAAAGGTAATAGATGGGGTGAGAATACAGATTTAGAAGTTAGGATCGTAGTGGCAACCGATTTTGACTAGTGTGGATTAGTAATACCCGATACAGGGAGCTACTGGCTATTCATTTTTTTTTTCGAGTAAAAAGCTAGGAGCAATGATAGATATCAATAAGGCATCTTACCCTAAAGGTAATAAGAGAGCTCGGTGATAGCTGGAAGATCCAACTGATGAGCATCCTGATCAAGAAAAAACGCAGCGAAGGTTTAGTAAAAAGTACGATTCAAAAGGAAAGCGCTGGTTGTGTATATAACAAAAAATGAAATTACCTTCACTAACCGCAAACCGTCCACAAACAGGTAAACTACCGATAGCGAGGAAGTATGTGTGCATTCTTGCTAGGGAGAAAAGCGGTTGCTGTTTTTGACAGCATTCGTCCTCACGAAATATATAAACTCTATGTCTAGAGGAGGAATATTGAGATATTGAGAGGTGGAGTGGGAGAGGGGACACACACAATTAGTACACTTTTGTTCGCAGAATTCGAGAGCGACCTGGTACATACTGAACAAGCGTGTGAAAACATTGCAAGAACTTTCTTATAGGACCTCTCGTTGTCATTCCGAACATTTCAGATCGGAATTGGTTTTACTTTGTTACACTGGTGATAATCATTCTCATGAACCTCTGCAATGGAGTCTACCAAAACTCCTTTTATGGACTTGTGGCTGATTTCCCTGACAACTACCCGAACTCCATTATAATCGGTAACAATCTGTGTGGAATCTTTACAAGTCTGATGAGCATATTCACGACTCTTGGTAAGTTGATCTTTCACGATTTTCCCACCGCACGTCGTGATTACTCCATCTTCTGGCTCTCTCTATCTACTACTACATTATTTCAGTATCTCCCGACAGCATCAAATTGAATGCTCTGTTGTATTTCTCGATTTCTTTGGGAATTTTGATCATCTGCGTACTATCGCTTGTTTTACTAGTCAGACTGGTAAGTGAACTGAATGAAATATCTATCAAGAACTATCCTCTCTTAACCCATATTACCTATCGCCTTGTTTTGCATCGATTTTCTAGATTTTCTCGTGCGGGTGCTAAGCCTCTATTTCATTCTTGTCGCGAGCTAGAGTTGTGTAAAGGATTGTCTTCGCTTGAGGAACACGAGGCATCTCTTTCGTTCAGAGCTTTTGCGAAGAAGCCTGGCTGCCATGCTGATATTCGTTTGACGTCCCGAGAGTTCCAGTCAGTTACTGCCCGGTCCAACGGTCGTCAGTGTAGCATAAATTGTCCGGCCCACATTATCTTCTATTCCAGGCAGCGGAGCCCCTGATACATGTTAGTTGACGGAGCTCTAGTCCGGATTCCCTTCTGCACTTGTGTGCACAGGGGAATTCATCTCAAATACTCCCTACGCCGCCGATTATCGCATTATCTCATGAGAGCGGTGCTGAAAAGTTTGGGCAAGATGGTATCGCTCAGACGAATCGCTTTCCTCACGTTGGCAATCATTTCCTCAGAGAAAGGCGGAATCCTGTTCGTGAAAGTGTCGCGAAGCTCACGAATCATCCTGACACATTGCCTAGGAACTCCCTAGTTGTCTAGGACCTCAATAACTGCTTCTCGACAGTATCTCCAAATCGACGATGGTAAGAAATAACGACACTATGTACTCTCGCGATACTGCGATGAGTCTTCTAAGAATGTTGATATGATCAATTGTACTGAACCCTTTTGAATTTTTGATTTTTCTATGATATTTTCAAATGCTTTTCACGCTTTGCGTTTCCTTCTGCTCAGCTCCAGAACAAGATCGTGTAGATTCTCTCCTTAGATACACGTGGTCAGGGCATTCGGAAAGGTTCGTTCAGTGTAAGGAAAGCACTTCGTACCAATCCGTTTTCCATGGACATCGTTTTCGTCAGATTCACTCTCAAGCCGCTCTTTGCACAAGCACGTCAAACCCGGCCGGCAATTGTTCCGTATGCTCGATGTTCGATGTTATGAGCACAATGTCGTCTCAAAGCGGAGGGGATGAAAAAGCGGCCGTCGACCTTTACTACCGAGTCTTTCCATTCCAAATGACGCATGATGTTCTCGGAGCGGAACAGAAAAGTTTAAGCGAACAAGTATCTCCTGCCAAACACCGCTCTTACCGTTGATAATGACTTCCTTGTAGAATGAACTCGTTTCTAAGTGATCGCCTTTGAAGTCCTAGTTGGAATTTCGCTATGATCTTTTGGATGAGATAGGAACCTTCAAGAATGACTCCCTGCTGTTCTAGTTGCGCTACATGGGATATCAGGTATTCAAGGAGATCCCATTGCTCATTTATTTGATTGCCTTTTGCGGTGGCTGATTCTATTCGCGCCTTGAGGTCGCGTACTAGGTTAGCCTTATCACCGTACTTGGAATGTAATAGGTTCAGCGTGCCGCGGCATAGTTTTCTTCTGTGGTAGGATATATTCTTTTTGTCTCCGCGCCTACCTTTCAAGGCTCGTATGAGCTAGTTGAGTTTCTGTAACCCAGTCAAATTCATTCATAGATGTTTGCGCGGAATAAGGACCAAAAGTCTTCAAAACTGCCCATTCTTCCGCCAAAGGTTGGTAATTGGATTTTGGGTAACTCAGGGATCCAAGTCAAACTACTTCAACCTAGTGATCTTCCTCCGGAACCCGCCAGCTGTAGTGTGCCCTTCTTAGACTCCATTCGGATTATTGTGATTTGTGCCTTATAAGCACTTTGAGGCAGAATTAATTAATTTTTTTCTTCCGGAAGTGGATCTGGTAGTTTATCAATTTGGGTGGAAGAATCCAGAGTATTGGTTATCAATTTCGTGCTTTCGCTAAAACTGTAGGTGAAACCTTCACCGGTCAACGCGGGGCTCATATTCTGAAAACAATCGATTGAGCGTATTTCTGTAACTTGACAGAAGGCCATTCTGAGAATGTAGAATAGTCGGAGCGTCACTCGAGAAGTTTATCAAACCTCAATCGAACTCGAACTTGGGTAATTGAAGTTCAATCGACCGTTATGAAAACGAAAGAAATGAGCGGAATAAAGAGCTATCGAAAAAGAGTTTTATCAGAGGTCGCGAAATTTCTCTGTGTTTTTCTAGCCGTTTGTATAGGCGCGAGACATTTTGTAATTGTTGTCTGATCATGTCTCTAGGCTTTTCACAAGGCACAACAAAGTCGCATGAGAACATTTTGCATAGCAGTGTTCGTTACGCTAGATGGCATTTACCACGCAGCGGCTGTTAGAAAGGTTTTTGAAATTGCGTTCCGGCGATAGAGCGTGTTTGGATACGCATGTGGCCGGATACTATACAAGTGCGACGTTTGGATGGCTTTGTGAGGCTTTGATTTGCAGGCGAGAGAGAGGGAGGGGGGGAGGTTCCTACACCTGCGGACATAACCTCCGCCCCCCCCCCCTTCAAATAATTATTAGCCAAAAAGAACTCGGAACCTCGCCTCTTCCGAATCAAAGTTCCCTAAACCCACCATTCAAACCCCGCGTCACTGCAATACCCGGCCACATGCGTGTCCAAGCACGCCCAGCAGGACACCGCTCAGCGACAGGCATGCGGCAAAAAGTGGTTTTGAAATCAGGCTTTCGTCACGAGTTGACCATCAGATAGCATTCTTCACGGAGAATCTAATAGTGTACGATTTAGTTGCAAATGGGACAATAAAAAAAGAAAAAACATAATTCTGTAATTTGGGCGAGACTAAGAGCAAAGTTTGGGGCCATACCAAGGGGGGAATTTTGATCTATGGTAAGGTGTACCAAAACAGCCTGCAGAGAACAAGGAGTTGTCTACGATAATAGAGTGCCTTGACGCCGTCTCCCGGTTTCGGAAAAATCCCTTTAAAGATTGAAAAATGCCAAAAAATCGACTTAACTGTCTTGACGTGAATTCATGTCATAGTCTAAATGGAGCCTGTAAGGAGAAGTGTTGAGTGCACAGACTGTAGATGCAGAATTAACAGTCCCACTCAGAAATGAACAATGGAGACTGAACAAAACAGATCAATCATTTTCATAATGTACTGAGTGAAGTCGAGTAAGTGGCGCACTCCAAGGCGAATTTCGAACACCCGTCCTCAGGGACCAATCAGCCTCATCAAGCACTAAAACGCGCACCCCATGCACATGCAATTACTTTCCAGATGGTGCTCGAGTGCATGACGATGAATCCAAAACCAGGTATCAGCTCATAGAGCTCGGCAAACTGAGTCCAACGGTTTTTCAGCTCCCGGATTACTCCACCCTGGAACGATTCATAACGATTCATGGAGAAAAGAACAGAAAAGCGCGGGTTTGCGGTATTCGCGTGAATTTTCGAGTTCTTGAAGCGAGTACTGAAATCCAATAGAATGCGACAGCAAAAAAAAACTACAAAGCAGGCCATTGAGTTCTGACTATTAGAGGGCTGTCTTACCTGTTTTTCTACACGTGTTTTTTTGTGAAGTATACCGAGTGTATAATGAACAATCCTTCAGGCATATTACCAGCATATCATGGCGAACGCAGAACATGTGCGGAGGGAACGTGATGCTGAACGCCCTAGCTTTGCTCAGTTCTGGGAATGTTTCTCCTATGTGTGTTCATTCACTCATTTGGACTGAAAATTAGATCATCATAGTAAAAAGATACTTGGTCACTTCTTACTTGTTGTTTTTTCAAAACTGTGACCACTTTCAGTGCTGGGTTCAGCTCTTCAACAACTTCTTCGTTTATTTTGTGACCTTAACTATTTTCCCTGCTATGATGACTGAAACTCCATATTACCGGAAGTCTGACGAGCCGTGGGGATCTGTTTTTCCAGGTAGAAAATTTCTTAATTCTGTTAGATTTTGTTCGAGAATACAGGTGGTATCTGCGATTCTATTACTTGAAGTTTTACAAAATTGTGAACGATGAACTTCAATTAAGCATGTAAAATGGATCGCCGACACGAACAGCCTTCTGAATTGGAGCGTGAGGCCTTGACTTTCTGTTGAAGGACTATCTTTCTTGCAATGGGAAAGTAGATATCGTTATAAGCGATACTGTTCTGCTCACTGGAAAAAGAACGTTGAAGTGTGTGTGAAATAGAGCTTCGTGGAAAGCCTCAATATCGACATAGCTACTCTGTGGCTGGCCAGGCTGACGCGACAAAAAAAACAACATTTCGACTTCACATAGCAATGGTACAGGTGCATCACAAGATCTGTTCATTAATAGAGGTCTTAATTATGACGCCACAACACTTTCGGCTTTCTGGTATTAATGGGGATGTCATATTTCACAAAATGCCCTATACCTGAGCCAGCGATGGAGTGAGATAGATCGTCGAGTTTACTTACAAATATCATGCATTGATCAACTCCTCGGAGCAAATGTTGAGCAAAGCCGCTTGCCTGTGTTGAACTGAGGCCGCTTATTGAGCAGTTGATGGAGATGGAAGCGAGGACCGTGATCACCGGGATAGGAACCAAAATGGGAGGCACCGTCTAGGCCTAGATAGCAGAGCTCATTGCCACACAGTAGGAAGTTTATATACCTACCAGAGGAACCTAACACAGAAGGGGTATTTTTGTGTTAGATTCGTCCGTAGCCCGAGTTCCTTCCAAATCTAGAGGCACTGGTACAGGAGAATAAAGCTATAAATTCACGACCAAACACACACACATACACACATATATTAGGTCGTGAAGAAAGTTCTTGCGTTTTGGCGCCTTAAACTTCAAATTCACATATCTCGGCCAAAACAAAAGCTCATCAATCGAAATAACAAGCATTATTATTGACACACTTTCGTGAACGGAAAACAAGTTTTTTATCCCATTCGCAAAGTTTTTTATCCCATTCGCATAGAAGTCCGGAGATCTAGAGGCGATGAAATCGTCGAATGCCGCGGCAGCATCATGTTGGGTTTTGAAGCATTTCTCATTGAGAAAGCCGTCGAAATGTTTAAAGAAATGGTAGTCTGTGGGAGCAAGGTCTGGGGAATAAGGTGGATGCGGGAGAGTTTCATAGCCTAGCTCCATCAATTTTCTCAGGGTAAGTTGTGCGACGTGGGGCCGAGTGTTGTCGTGGAGTAGAATTGGCCCCTTCCCATTCACCAGTGCCGGGCTCATGAGCTGGAGTTTTCGATGCATTTCGTCAATTTCTTGACAGTACTNTTTCTCATTGAGAAAGCCGTCGAAATGTTTAAAGAAATGGTAGTCTGTGGGAGCAAGGTCTGGGGAATAAGATGGACGCGGGAGAGTTTCATAGCCTAGCTCCATCAATTTTCTCAGGGTAAGTTGTGCGACGTGGGGCCGAGTGTTGTCGTGGAGTAGAATTGGCCCCTTCCCATTCACCAGTGCCGGGCTCATGAGCTGGAGTTTTCGATGCATTTCGTCAATTTCTTGACAGTACTTGTCGGCTGTTACGGTTTCACCCGGATCCATGAAATTGTTGCGGATCAGCCCGGCTGTGGATCACCAAACAGCACCATGACCTTCTTTCCATGCTGCTTCGGCTTGAGAAAATGTCGTGGGGCTTGATCCTCGTCCAGATACTGGCCTGTTCGTCGCCGGTTGTCGTACAGGATCAATTTCTCATCACGCGTCGCAATACGGTCTAAAAATGGACCGTTCCTGTTGCGCAGAAACAAGGCGGCGCGAGTTCGAAGCGGCGTTCTTTCTGGTGTTGAGTCAACTCATGCGGCACCCACTTATCAAGCTTCCTCGACTTCCCGATCTCCTGCATGTGCGTGCCAACTGTCCTGCTGGAAACATTCAATCTCGAGCCAATATCCTTAAGCGTTGTACCTGGATTCCCTTCCACTAACGTTCTCAATTACTCGTTGTTAATGACCGATGACCGCCCACTACGCTCATCATCCTCCAGGCTCTCATTGCCGGTACGGGATTTTTTTAAACACCACTGTGCTTCACGTTTATTCGTCGTACCTAGACCAAGGGCATCTTTGATATCCCGGGCCGTTTCCGTCGCACTCCTGCCTAATTGAATTGGAAAAGATAAATCGTGCGAACCTGTCGTTTGTCCATGCTGATTTCAACCTTCTAAATAACCCCAGGACAAAGTCAATTATATGTTTGGATAGAGCAAGAAATGCGCTTCAGAATGGTAGAAGACTTGCAAATAATCTTGTAGCAATAACACCGCGGCGAGCATTTGAAAATTGGGCGTCAGAAAACGCAGGAACTTTCTTCACGACCTAATACATACATAAACACACCTAGAAGAAACATACAGCATACACATATGCACATATACACACATACAAACATATGTACAAACACCAACATAAGCACGCGCTCACAAAACACCAACTGTTCAGTCACCTTCTGCTACCTGCTCTATACTCCTACGCATATACCTCCTACGAAGTTAGAATCCTATTGGTCCTCGCGAACAAGAGTTATGAATTTCCGGTCAAACACACAAACACATCACACACAGACAAACCTGCAGCCACGCACAGACAAACCAGCAGACAAACTCACAGACAATTCAACATATGCACCTAAGATCATATATATAGGTTGCGCCATCAAGATGGTAACAAAAGAATTGAGCTACAGAAACCGCTGTTCATTTTGATATATGGTTTATTCATGTGAGTTATTTACCACGCATCGCATTTACAAAACGAATGCAAGCTCATCTTACATAACTCTCCCCTTTACTAGTTATAGCTAGATGACACTTCGGCTACTCATCGACGGTTCTCAAACGCGAAATTTCTCGTGAAACTCCAGCCCGAGGTAATTTCCAATAACTTCTTAGGAGCAGCAAGAGTGGTGCGTTTAGGAGCACAGGCTTTCTCCCCAGTATGGATTATATCCCGCGGCCCATAACACTGTGGTCCGGGAAATTCGTCGGAGAATTGGGAGCTGGGATAAGTTTGCACACATTTCCTCAGCACCAGACTTGAAATTTTCACACTCGTGAGCAGGTGTGCCGTAGTTCTGAAATGGTACCCTTAAACAAATTTTTAACCTCAACCTCAGCTGCATTCATTCAGAAAAATCTTCTCAAAGAGGTTCGGGTTAAATTTTGTACGTTTCTCAACCAGGATTGCGATAACACTCTGATGATAGAGATTCTCGCCCAAATCAGCGTGGAAGAGGAAAAATGGCTGGGGGAGCCGATCTGACTCTTTTCAGCAGCTTCTGCGCTGGTAGTGCTAAATATACGTATATGTACTCTAGGATCTCACCATTTCTTCCACGCTGAGCACCCTTCAGTCAGAAAAAAGTGTGTCGAAACACGTGCCGCACGCAAGTAGCGCACAGCATTTGTTTTTCACTCCATCTTCTTCTTGTCAAGAAGCTATTAGTCTTTGGAATCCTACTTGGATACAACTGTATTTACTCGGGCAAATCAGCAGTCCGGAAAAGGGGTCGTATGTGAGAAAAGAAGACCGTTTGGAGGTGGGTTTGTCGTTGAACAGTCTACGCATCGGTATTCAAAAGGCTGTCATGTGGGTAACGATGAAACGAGGAGCGATTCCGAAAAGGGCTCATCAAATGCGCGCACAGACGGAGCAGCTACTGGATGAATACCAGACTTCACCGTTTTTCGAAATCTGTCGAATTCAGAGACCAAAGTAGATATTAGGGCTAAGGTATATCGTAAATATAAAGGAAAGTGCAGATTTGGAGAAACCATCCAAACAAGGAAATTGTTGACGTCCCAAAAGTTGTTACCGTATTTATGGCGCACCATGTTTATAGTAGGATCCTGTGACTACGTTGGGTGGTGCCGGTAAACAATACTGGTAGAAAAATTTAGAAGTTCCAATATATAGTAGGATACTCGTAGGATCCTGTCCTGATGTGTTCCCAGATATATTTAAAGTAAAGGTTTCTATGTGCTCCCTTGTAATGATTATTGAGGTAGCCAAGCTATCGAACAGTCTTTTGAATTCGCTCGATCCCCTTTTTTCGAGATGCACTTGCGAACTCAATCCACAACTTTATTGGCTTAAAAAGTAAAGATGTACTATGCAATGACTTGTGTTGGGGGGGGGGCATATACAAGTCAGTACTCTTACCATCGCAGGCAATTTCGGCGTCATTCAGCCAACCGATGGAGGGGGGGGGGGGGGGCGTGATCATCTGCTACTTGCATTCACACCACTATTTCCCGACCGAAATATGTATACAGTAATGAAAACAGTTGTGAGAGTGACTAGCCCTAATCACAGAGAGAGCAATAATCTTTGAAGCAACTAACAACTCGATCATTGTAATCGAGACAGAAAAATTCAAACAAGAATATAAAATGTCACCATTTACAGAAAATCTCTACTTCGCCATTAACACGTTCCTCAACTTCAACGTGTTCGCCTCGATAGGATCATTATCAGCCAACTATATACAACAGGTTATTCCCGTCTGACACCTCCTTAAAAGCTTGAAAAGTAGTTGCCTTGAGAACCTATACCGAACACTTCAGCCAAACCCAAAATTTCTATGGATTCCAGTGGTACTGAGAGTGCTGTTCATTCCTTTTTTCATGTTTTGCAATTACCAGCCTGTTGGAAAAAGCAGGACTGTTTCGGTAAGTTGAGAATAGATTCGTTCAAAGTTGCTCTTCAGAGCCTGAACTTGCAGGTTTTCTTCAAAAATGAATGGTGGTTCACCATTGCCGGCTCGGTGATGGCTCTTACTTGTGGCTACTTCAGTAGTTTGGCTCTCATTTATACGCCTAGGTAAGAATGTCTCAAAAATGGAATTTAATATTCAAACACATAACAGCTACATAAAACGGTGTAAAAATGAGGCTCGAGGAACTTAATTTCTTACAACCACATGTTTAAGTACCTTATAAAATGAAACGAAAAATTCTTCGCACTCTTTCCTTTATCTATCCTCACTCTACCTTTTTGCCAATGATAGTCCCTTGTTCTTTGTGGTTTCCCTTTTTCAAGCAATCCAAGTAAATCACTAGCTCGTTTTTCTCATCATGTTACATTGTCCATTTTTCCCTTTGGATCATTTGAAGGCATAGGAACGTTTTTTTTATGTGCTCTGGACCCACTGTAACGAAATTTTTGGCACAAAATGTTCACGGACTGAGACATTTTCCTGTACGGTGTCACCGACCTATGTTGCAAAATGTAATTTATAGAGGAACGCTGATTTTTAACAGGGGTATGACTTTCTCAATCGTTTCTATAAATTGTGTCGAGGCTAGTCACCGCATATAACTGCGGTAACTGTAACTGGAACTTTGTAACCCGTACACAGTACCGTAAGAACTCGAAAATTCACGCGAATACTGCGACTCGCGTCTTTTTCTAGATTTCCACTTGAGTCGGTTCAGAATGGGGTATTCCAGAAGCTGAAGATGCTGCAGAACTCAGCTTGTCAAGCTCCATAAGCAGATATGCCAAAGTATTAAAATGCTCCATTTCAGATTGCGCCATACTCCTGAGTAATATCCGAAGAGTAGTTGCATGTACATAGGGTGCAGGCTTTAGTAATTGTAGGAGCTGTCTAGTCTGTAAGGATGAACCACATATTCTCATGAGGGAGTAAGTAGGAGTGATGAGTGCAGAGACGTAGATGCAGTCACTCACCGCCTCCACATTAGAATTGAGCGATGGAGACCCAGCAAAACGAATTAATCATTTTCACATTGTACTAAGCGAAGTCAAATTCGTGATACACTCTATAGCTAGATCTGAACACTTCGTCTTCACATACCAATTAGCTCCCACAAACACTTAAGCGTGCACCAATGTACAGTGGCTCTCAAAAGTATTCTGCCAAACGCTTTTTCGGCCATAACTTTTTTTCGGTGGAGAAATATTTCACACAATCCAGCACTATTTGACTGCAAAGCAGCAGTATCCACGTCACCAATGGGAAAAGTGTTTGTTGCTGTAATGACTTTGCTGAAAGCAAAGTTAGCGACGTCCGCAGATATTCCCCCCTTATGTGCGTTTTGCTCCTTCTGTGTTTTGGCATTAGCGCTCGCATACTTTGGCTACGGCAGAAAGGAAAAAATCCTAAAAAGACCATCATCTATTAAATCTGGAACATAATCAGATTGTAGGTCAAAAGTGGTAATATCCACAATACATCCGAGCTACACATATTGAAGTTTTGCATGATTAGATCCAGTAGAAAAGGAGTTACTACTGGAAACTACGACTGAAGAGGCATTTGATTGAATACTTTTGAGCGCTACTGTACCTGCAATTACTCTTCGGACGGAGCTCAAGCGCATGACGCAATCTGAAACGAAGTATTTTCAATACCTTAAAAAATCCGTGATTGAGTTGTTATATTGCCTAGGAGCTTCTGTGTGAAAATCTTGATATTCATTTACGGAGTTTCCTTTCCAACATCCTTTTTTGAAATATCTCCGAAGATAAGGTCAGGTGAATTTGACGGGTGAATTTCAGATTGTACTTTTTTTCAGGGTAGTGCCAACATACTATCAGAAAATCAGTGGAATGGCTGCTGCTATTGCCTTAATGTTAGGTGAGTTGCATGCAGCATATGTAAAGTCTCTAGCCTCGATCCATTTTTAAAACCAAATTGCACGCACCACTAAGTTGAGCCTTGTACAGAAGAGATGTAGGGTCTTCTTATTCCTCGACTTCAGTGTGATCTTTCTTGATCATTGTTTCTTTGGGTCCCTTCGTGGCTGCTTGCCCCCTGCAGGCACCATGCACACTTCGTGGATGATCCAATGACCGTTTTAGAACCTACTCATGTAACCACAACCCCTACTTTCAGGTTCCCAGTAGTAGCTGCTTGCAAGACTGCACTGTCGTCAACTTTTTTTTATTATTCGTGTTGACTCATCACCCGACCGCAAGACAAAAACACTAGTAAACCTCACTCATTTCATCCATGCTGCGTTTATCTGAGCCTCCGCAGCTCGGTCCGAGCAGCGCCACCATTCAGGCTTATCCCATGTGATTTGAGGTTTTCACTATCTCGATGCTTTTTTTTTNTCTGGACGGTTTCAGATAAAGTTAACAAATTATAACAGTTGTTGATGAGGGAGCTTTTACGATAGGACCCTTGTTCACGCTACGCTTTCCTTATTTCCATAAGAGCTCTGGCTTTTTAGTTGGTAAAATGGGAGTGAAGTAATGTCTGCGAACGCTGACGGAAAGTGCTGTTCACGTTGTTGAGCAGTTCCACATGAGGAGAACAAAGTATGCTCAAAATTAAACGTAGGATTTTCAATCCCGTCTGAGGAGTGCGCCTCTACATTCTTCTTCCATTCAGATTTGTAGTGGGGTAGTGAATGCGTAAGTGTCCTATACAATAAATTGCGGTGGCCAACTGATGTACAAGTCAGTGCTTTTATCCTCTCAGACGAGTCTGGTACCAACTAACCGACCTCAAAGGGATGGAAGGCTTGATTGGCCTTGGTGGATATCGATCGGGGATTCGAACCCGCGACCATGCGTGTGGGATTGCCACTTGTCACTACACCTCCGTCAAATATGCCTTATCCCCTATAACTATAATACCCCACGCTCTCGAATGGTAGACGGAAAAATTCAAGTCATTCCCTCATTCCTAATAAATTTGAAAACCGCACTATGCCGCATGCACAGCGCTTGATTATAGGCATAGCTTTCACAAAAAGCGAGTGCCGGTTATACTGCCCTATTTGTGCAAAGTAGAAGAAATGTCTTTCACTGAGTAATATGGCAGCGAAAAAAAAAGAAACTTGATTCGTTTACTCTTTACTCAGATAAATGACGACTTCTATGCCCCAAGGTTCAGTGAGTAAGGGGTAGCGGAGATGGGAGCACTTATAGGGGTCTAGTATAGATTCCTTTCTGAGCATAAAGTTGGCATTAAAGCGATGAATGTTTCACCAGTACAGAAGAAGGGGAATTATTGAAGTTTATTCTATAAAGGAAAGCAAAATGTAACAGAATGGATACTCAGTGGATCCTCAAGATAAATCATGCTGATGTAGTTAATCCATCTTAATGTCTTCTACGATATATTATTGCATGCCATTATATGTTCAGCAACAAGCCTATTTTGTTTGAATGCTGAGTTGAGCGGCTGAGTGTGTTTGATTCCCTTGGATTTGAAATTATCTGTAAAACTATCACGTGCTACACTCATTCCGTTGTTAAAGGATCAAATGATATTTTCCGCATAATGATCCACAATTAATCCTGGGTTTGTCTAGAGGAGGGAGTGTGCGATTTTTTCATTAATTTTTTTCTTGAATGACAGCGGCTTTACGGATCTACTTCAGTGAGGTGTTTTCTCACTAAAAGATCCATAGCTGTTCGGTAACAAGGCTACGTGGCGCGACCACGGGTATGCGACAGAGGAGTATATCACGGATCAAAAGCCACTAATACTTGGAGAGGTATTAGTGGCGGGGTTTCTGGTGTGGACTCCCTTGTTCCTGATATGATAGATTGGTGTCTTCTTCTCCTGTTTCCGTGCAGAAGTATCCAGCATACGTGTCTAGAGAGTCTGCGGGTTGTATCGTCCACCTCGGTTTTTCCGAGTAGCATTCGAGTGACTGGGGAGATCTTAGAGGTGGTTCAGGGCCGCCTCCATAAGATAAGCTCACTGTCTCTCTCTCTCTGATAGCTTGGCTAACTGCTCAGAGCCCATCCAGCCCCGTATTAGAGCTCATAAAGCTACTCAAGATTGCACTAATACCAAAGAGAATAATGAGAATGAATGAAGCTTCTAGAACAGCAGTGTTGGATAGGATCGCTAGGAAAGGATGCTATAGTCTCAGGGCCAAAACAGGCTGCTTGAAAGGAGAAACTTTTGATGACGTTCTCTACCTACAAAATATGAGCATTGAAAGCGTGTGCCGAGGATCCGATGTTGCAGGCTAGAAGTTCAAGTAGTCATATTACTGACCGAGACGAAAAAGCATAGTACGCTGCTCGCCGTTCTCAACAACAGAGAAGAACCGTTTAATATACGATAAGCAGAGGCGTCGGCGGTGGCCTTTGCCATTACACGCTTAGCCATGAACATCGATTCGAATGGAAACATCATAACCGTATCGAGCGTTTGCGTTTGAGAAGATGTGGCTGAACTCCAGCACCAAGAAGAGGAGCTGGAGGTGTTTTATGTAAAACTGGAAAAGCTCTCCAACAGAACCACATGTTTCCAAGTTTATCTTCAGTGGTTTTAACGTCAAGATTGATCTCGAAAAAAAAAACGCCTAAAAGGCTACATAAAGGGACTCACAAAATGGAATAGAATGAGCACGATGAAAAGCCATCTGATTCCCAAGTTCTACACCGGGTCGGAACATCACTTTCACCTTTTCCGCACCAGGTTATAATTTCATCGAGCAGACAGAGTGCTGTCAGTTTCAAGAAAAGATGTCTCAATCTCAAGACCGTCATCAATCGAGATTATTTACTCTTGCGAATTGAAGGGATCGTTCCTTAATCGACAAAATTGATGAGGAATATAACCGGCTTGCCAGATATCTTCACGATTGTGCTAGAAAGGTAGAGAGTCTACGAGGTGTCTAGAGACGTCTTCCTACGGAGATATTTGTGCTAAAGCGCTAGTGTGGGATTGTCAGGGAATCAGCTATATGCAAACTTGCGGAGCTATGCAGAGAAGCGATGAAGGAAGATCTGGGAGAGATGAGAGCAGCAGTCTGACCGAAGCTGTCGAGACAGGGAAGAGCATTTACAAAGACGGTCGGAACTTCGCCAATCACGATACTGCTTTCGTCCCTTCGTCGTTCTAAAGATACGGAAACTGCATCGGGGTGAGCAGTGGAAACGGTCTTCTACCTGTGTCTGCTCGAGAACCAAACCTATCATTCTTCCTGCTATCTTACGCAGAATGTATGTGCGTATCTTTATTTCTCCCTTCTGAAATTCCACGTGTCATCACATTTATGAAATAGTGTATAGTACACAAACAGTCCTTTTACGGTAGGATCGACTCAATACATCTATTTGGTAA